GTTTTTAGTACCAGTTTGGTTCATGGAAGCTGTAAGTTAGGAGATAGTCAATCTACATGGTGGCACACAGGTCGAAAGCAAAAATATAGGGTCACATGAAAGGGAGAGAAACATACTCAACAAATCTAGTTCAATGATAAGAGATACAAAGAAAAGGAATCGGGACTACCTTCTCCATAAAAAGTCATTTCTTGTTCAAACAATATCCCCCGCCTATTTCTGTGTGTTTATAAACGCAGAGATGTGAGATGTAATTGTGAAACATATAGCTCATTTTGTATTAATTGCTGTCGGATGAAGAAACTTACTGTATGTTCCGACCAATTTTAATTGATGTTTGAATTTTTTCATAGATTTGGATCAAACTTCGATTGCGATTCTGCTTTGTATCGCAATGTAACTTGATCACTGAACCTGACAACTGACAAAGGAAACATGCATAGCTTGGTAAAACTCCTTAATATGTCACATTTTCATATCACTTGTAGGTGCTCTTCTCTCATTCGTTGTGTGAAGGAAATGTATTTACCCTCCATTCATTTAAAGGAGCAAGATCTGTTGCCCATATGAGGTCCAGGTAAATATCTGAACTTATTACATCCGATTCTGTGTACGCTTGAAACGCTCATATACCCGAAATTGGAATCAATAGTTTAGATTCAACACTCGGTACTGTGGAATTTAATAGATGATCTATACTCTTGAGAGACGTGAAGTAGCACTTGCTCAGCCAGGGCGAGGAGTCTATGGTCTTTAGGTCATAGCAGGTTCATATCAACGGGTACAGTTTGTATAAATGTTACCATAGATCAGAAAAAGTGTCAGGAACTTAAAAGATTGTCACTCTCTCTTATATCCATACATAAGAATAGACTAAGCTCAAGCACGTCTCAGGCATCCTTTTATTAAGAGTCTGGTTCATCGACATATCTCCCTTTCGTTCAGAAATTGAGCAAGAGCCCTCGAAGATTATCAAAGAAGAAAAATTTTAATCAGATTTGGAACGTTGTTGTCAGGTCTCCATGTACCGTAATGTTGGACTTTACCTGTGACATAATTAATACTCTGCTGTAGATCATACTGAAATTGAAATGAATGTAACCAGATAGAGATGATCCGTCAAGATATTAAATTCTGCACGCCTCCTTATTACCAGTTTTCTAGACAGAGTGTGACTAGCCCAGTAATACGTGTAGGGCATGAATCTCATATTTTTTCTGCTGTAAATTTCACTCGGAATGATCTGATCCATCTGAGGTCCAAACTTTTGACCTCTCAAATAACCAGTTCTACAAACTCCTCGTATGCTCATAAATTATGGGCTTTGCAAGTTCTTCTTGGTAATGAAAATCTTCTTACAGAAGATACCCTCAATTCATGACTTACTGATCATGAGTGTTACGGACTTAACCAAGAATCTCAAGTGCGTTTTTTCTTTTGTAGCTTTAAGTACAACACTTCAAGAATCGTCTCTTGTACATGCGAGTTGCTTTGGTTTGACCATCAGCCGGTCTTGATGTTGCTGGAGTCGAATCAAATATCGTTCTCTTCAGTGCATAAATTTGTTCTATACCAGTATACCGAGGAAGATAGTTTGCCCTTTCCTGCCATTTTCAGATGAGTCATTCATTCCGGTTGAGGGCATCCCATCTACATGGTTGTCGGGTCCGCCGACCCTCCCCGCAAAGTGTTCTTATAGTCCATCGTTAGATCTGTCTGCCGGAAAGCAGAGCGATCTAATTCAATCACTTTGATGCTCCACCGGAAAATTGAGTGCGAATGAAAAACCTGCCCGGTTAGCCTGCCCGCACAATCTTCCATCTTTGGTCCAAAAGAGGAGAGTCGCAGCGAAAAGAAGAACTTCCGTCACGGGTCACTGCAGGATGACACCTGCCTGGGTCTATGAAGGCTCTATATAGGGGCTATGTATAAGTTTGTGCAGCTAAACCCGTCCCTCTCCTTGCATGTGACACTCCACCCGAAGCCCTACCTAGATTAACGTGGGATTTCAGATCACATCACACGTTGGTTGGATCAGACCCGAAGCCCTCAAAAGAGGGGAGGGCCTCCCTAAGAACCCGCTTGCATGCACGGAGTATATATATGTAACCAGGGACAAGAGGGCCGCACATTGGGGTTAGTAGACAAATATAGAAAAATATATGAACGAAATAGCAGGAAGGGAGCTAGGACAAATATTACAAAGAACAGCCAACGGAGCCGGGAGAATAAAAGGAAAGGCCCAATACCTTGGTACAAAGAGGGAGTGAGTGGAGGACATTGCAAACTGCAGAGAGCACACGCCTATAATAAGAAGCAAGAAGAGGGAGAGCTAGAGTTGTCTTATGACATTCTTAAGTTGGAAATTTCAAACTATCGAGACAATTCAAAACTCTCAAAATGATTTAACATCTTAATCCTTCACTTTGACATACTATAACATCATGTTTTCTCATGGGGTTGCTTAGAGCGGAAAATGATACATCATATCGTTCTCGAAGAACCATGAGAGAAAGATGTACAAAATTAATGACAATTATACCGCAATTGAGGGGTACAAGCAAATTGACATCTGTCAAAGAGACGATCACACAAAATACACAGATTAGATTACAATCAGATTATCTTGTAGGACTGATTGAGACTAGATTTCCATGTCCACATTCATTGCATTGCCTCTCTCATGCACTTCATGGTGATGCAAGACATGATATTCAATTATCTTTCCATGCAATGGCTTGAGATTTCCGTGGACAAACTAGCATAATTTTGTTTCATTTAAATTCATGATGGTGTTATTCCTTTATGTTCCACAGCCAAGCAGTGGATGTTGGATAGGTGCAGGATGCAACTAAACTTAGAATTTGTAGCTTAAGGGATTGAGCTATTTTCCCAAACGGGTTTATCCGGATCACACAAGTTAGTACTTTGATGTTTTTTTACTATTTATGTCTAGTAATTTTGGAACTAGTTTTGAAACTATAGATAAACATGGGTTGTTTCTTCATTTTGATAATTTAAATTTTAAGATACCAAATGCTATAGATTAGACAAGATGACTGCTTGTCGAGATGGTACGCTTGGGGTCTTTTCGTATCTGAAAGAGAGCCGATGGACTAGCAAATGTGTTGTTTGTTAGTTGAGTGGAAAATTTGGACGGAAACGCCATCTATTCATATAGTGAGGACAAGTTCAGGTTGATCGGTTTACATTGATTGAGTTCAAGAAGGCAGTAATCTTAACTATGTTCGTCATCGCTGAATTAGCTTTAAAATGCGTTGCATGTTCCAAGATTAACAGTTGGTAGATTCCCAAATTAATCTTGGGAAACTACCAACTGTTGAACATAAGGTTCTAGTATTTTAAATCTGCATGAAGTTGTTCACTATTTGAAAGACCTAGTGATGGACAAGTCAGAGGTTGTTAAGATTAATTGCATTGGACATATTCGAACCGGATAAATGTCCTGAAATTTGCAGTTTTGTAGGATTTTGTTGTTGACTGGTCAAGTTTGAGAGGAGCTCATTTTCTTTGTGAAAATTGTATAGAAATGACAATGGGATCTTTCCTGTCAATCATGTATCCTACATCCGAATCAGGGAGATATAATATAGGCACTTAGTTCTCTGCATGATGTTGGAGAACATGTTATGCATTTTCCTGGGGAACAGCAAAGTCATAACTGGATGGATATACTTGAACTGTGCAAATAGTATCACTGTTTTATACCAGCTCTTTGATGACGGATGCGACATACAACAATATCCTAACTCCAGGTGTATGGCTAGGTATATCTGGCTACCAGAACAGAGAGTCTCACTGACTAGGACGTTTTCTAACTAAGTTCATGGAACGCCAATTAAGCCTTGTTCCAAGTAGCAAAATTCTCAGTTGTTTTTCTCCGGATTAAAAGAAACACGATATGCAAAAATGATAGGCTTGAAACAAGAGACACAGCCAAAATGAAACAACTTCAATGGATCAAACGCACTCTATGACGTGTATACTACCATTATTTTCAAAGCAACAAACCTCTTTTTGTTACCAACTGATTCATTCATGTACGAGTTGATATATAGTCTTATTGCAATGGTTGCTCTGCTCAAGAGTACGATGAAAGAAAAATCGCTGATATTCCTAACGTCATGAAGCAACAAATAAACCCATATATGAGATCAGCGATTCCTTCTTGACAGTAAAAGCTAATCCTAGCAGCGATTGTTCATGCTCTGCTTCCAAAGTAGCACGATGACATGCCCGGAAGGTCGGAGCACAGTGTGTAGTTTTAAAGATTGTATGATTACTCCAACTGTTAAAATACTCAGGTCTGCACAAACGTGCTGCACAGTACAGAACAATGCACAGGATTGGCTTCAAGTCTGGTGTGAAAGGCCCTTCAGCATTTGTTTGGGTTGATTGATGTTGATGGAAGCATCTTGATGATCACCAATGCAGCTTGCCACTGGAGTCATAAGGATAAGCTAGATCACAACTGAGTGCTGCGATTCAAAGTTAATGTATGAGGGCGAAACTGAACCACGCATTGCATACATGACGCAGCAGAAAGTGCAACTTAAACAGCTAAAAAGCTGAGCCGTGTCTTTCTTAAGAATTTGTATTGAACAGCACCAAAGATTCATAATGCTCCTGGTTAGGCTCTACCCTTAGGCTCCATCTGCATTCATCCAGACCTAGGCTCCACCTAGAGCACTATACTCTGCAATGTACAATTCATAAGTGAAGTCACCACAGGGAGGAGAAAGACTGCACTGAATGTAACCTTGTGAGAAATGCTGACGAATAGTTCTAAACTATGGTTACTGTATGAGGGATTGTTTGAAGGGAGATTGTATATGTTAACATATTCAATGTTTGGAAATTCAGAAGCACTTCTTCGTTGCTGGGATTGGCAATGTGGCTGCAGTGAAAGTAGCGAGAACGCGAAGGCGGTGCCTGGAGAACAGTGGTTGTCTAAGACTGCATCCGCTCAATCGATGCAGCAAAGGATGGAGAGAACACGTCATTGCAAGGATGCACATGGGCAAGCGATTATCTCGAGGAGTTCGGATCTACATAATGAATCCCTTGATGTCGAAGGGAAAGAGATGAGAATAATATATAGCAGAAGGAGAAGGACTCTTCAATTCACAGGGTACGATCTTGAATACTTGAGTCGAATTAGGAAGATAGTAGCGAGTGAGTGATCCGCGTTCATCGATCGATCCAAGATGATAATAGATGAGAGCCACGAGGTCTACAGATTCTACTCAGCTCACGCCGAAGTTGCCAAGAGTGGAATATGGGATCCTCAAAATCACAAGTATTATTACTGCGACATAACCCAAGGATCGTTCCACATTCTGGATCTGATCGACATGTCACGAGAAGATTACTCTGTGGGGCTTAAGATCGGTGCGATGGCACTGATCGAAGGGGGTACGGGGCTTGTCATGGCTGTGAGGGACGGATTTGGAATCTGGGACTTTGCCACGAAGAAATTCGAGTTGGTTGCGACTCCATACGGGATTAACAGTGGATGGAGGATGAACGATGGCAATGTCGATTCCAAAGGTCGATTTTGGGCTGGCCGTCTCTTTGACACAGATGAGACCAAGCCTGGAATGATCTACCGACTGGAGCTGGACGGCAAGACAGCCACTCCTGTTATTGATGGAATCTGCTGTACCAATGGAGTTTTGTGGAGTCCTGATAATAAGCGCATGTAAGTAACCACTCCTTGTCCTAACAAAAGGTGCAGTATAATTGTCCGACGCAAACAAGTCAATTCCAGTTACTAGTAGTACTGATTTTCAGGATTTGTGATACATTACATAGCTTTTTGACAGGGTTCTAAGTCTTTCTTTTAAAAAGATATAAGACACTCGTTTCATGGATTGTAGATCCCAATTTTTCAGATAGGAAAGGGTCAATCTTCCGCACAGGTAGAATTGGTTTGTTAAAGTCAAAAATTCGTCGATGCTCTGTCGCCTTACCTTGGAGAACACACCAGCCGATGTATGAGATTAGAAGATTAGAAATCCATCGATGAACCTTTCTAGTTCCGCTCGGTAACAATTGACGCTTGTCAATGTATGTGACAAATTACAAGTTTAAGAACACCAAAATAAATTCGTTGAGTGAATAGACTTTTAGTTGCATAAGGCTGAATTCTCTTGCACATCGATCATGACGATGATCGAAACTTCCAAAAGTAGGTACATCTAGGACTGCAGGAAGTTAGCCGAGAGAAAACATCCATGTACAGATTGTTTCTTGACAGGACGAAAACATTTCGTGAAAATTCAACCCAGTTCGACATGCAACGAGTCTCCTGATTCGCAGACTTTATCACAAATTAGGCATGTACTGCAAGTACATATTCAAGCATAATACATTACACTGTTACCTTAGGTAAAATCAGATAACCATCCATTAAGGATCGACGCCTCTGTCTCTGTCTCTGTTCTGATAGAATCAGAATGTTCTGAGCAGCATAGATGTTTTGCATAAACCTGGAGTTGGCTACTACTGGAGTTCTCCATGTGAAACTCTCTAACAGCACGATTATACAGGTATTGCGGAGACAGCACACACAAGAAGATTTACGTCTGGGATTATGAGGAAGAATCAGGCACTCCAAGCAACCAAAGACTGTTCTTCGATACTGCAAGCTACTTCAGCGGTGTTCCTGACGGAGCGAATATTGACAGCGACGGATACCTTTGGGTGTGCTTCTATGATGGCAACCATTTGGTCAGGATATCACCTGATGCCAAGGTGGACAGAGTGTACAACATGCCCGTGAAGCGGCCCACGCAGCCCGTCTGGTTCGGAGAAAACATGGACGAGCTGCTCGTCACAAGTGCCAGCAAAGATGTCAACAGGAACATGTGGCCAGAGAGTGGAAACATTCTGAAGCTGCACGCTGGTGTTCAAGGCCAGTTAAAAAACAAATACCGACTTGCTTCCGCACCAAAACCAAATCCACTTCCACAATTCACAATTGATCTCCACATCAAGGGAACCGTTGCAGCGCTGAGAAGCTTCTTATAGATCATACACAATCACAATACGTGGTTTGTGCTCGTGCACTCTAAACTGAGTTACTTGTTAGTAACCCTGGGCTCACGTTTGGAGATCCACTTGTATGGCTTCAAGAAGACTTCTAGAGATACCAGATACTATCAGAACGTAATGACCTGCCCAGGATGTTCATTGAGTCTGATAGGAGTTAACAACCTGAAGCTCACTAACCTTTATATGCAAAATAGTCTGAATACAGCTGAAATAATAAACTCGATCTACTTTGCATTTTGCAACAATGTCCTGCTTATCATACTTATCTTGAAGATAAGTGATGGGAAAACTGGGGCAACGTGCACTCATACAGATAAGGACTGTCGATAAGTTCGCTGGTACAACTGTTCGCATACATTGGAAACGAGTACAAGGTCGTCCGATGAGGTCAGAATGTTCAACTATAGAATTTTGGGCTGAAAGGACTTCCCCTGATTGGTTTCCATGTTTTCAGCAAGAGCTTTATCTCTGACAAGAACTTGACCGGCATATCTGTATTATCAACAATTTCCATGCCGTTCCAATGAGCCACTTCCCATGAGCTACATACACAATACATGGGGTGCAAGCTCTACAGTTCGGTCCCATACGAATTTGGGTACAATACTTAATACTTAAACATTTTGCCGATTTACCGGGTAGCAGCAAAAGGTTACCCTACCTTGCCTAGGCGTAAGTGAATGAACTCTCGCCCGAACATTCTCCTATCCGAATATTGTCTGAAAACCGTCAAAGGTCAATCTCAGGTGGACTTCTTTTGGATCATTGAACTTTGGGGATCGAAATAAGGTCGAACAATATGAAGAAGAGAAACACTATGTAGGGACTGTATCTATATGCATCGGTCGCGTTCGCATAGTTGTGTCCCTATTGGATATTTCTCACAATGAGGCAAAACTAAGCTAAGGGAAGGAGGCGATAGTATTCCCTGTACCTTGATCAGAGACTACACCAACAGACACAGAAAGTGAAGAGTTTGGTGCTGCTGTCCAGAAGATTTGCTCACAAAGTCGGTCAACAAACTCAAACTCAAGTGAATTGCATTTCTGGGTATTATCTTTGTAACATGTATTTATGTAAAAAATATTCAAGGTATACAAGCTTCTATGATGTTGTAAACTGAGTGCAGAAGAGCAGGCAGGAGAGACCCAGGATGGGGAATGGAGAGAAAGACTTCAGTACCGTGTAGAGGTATGTGTTGGGATTTCACAACTTTATCAGAAAATCCCTACTACCCTCATTTACTAGCGAACAAATGGTACGCCGATACGGAGAGCTCACGTGGTGTGTGAGAATTGCAATGATTTGTCTTATGATGAAACGAAAGCTTTCTCATGTCTTTTGAGAAAGGAATTTACAATGAAACAGAACATTTGCAACGTTCAGTGACTATTGCCCATCAGATAGCAATGCAACAGATGAGAAGACTTCACAATTTCCAAGGTAACAGAAAGTAGAACATACTCGAGAAGAAAAAATGCGAATGGGTGATTTCAGATACAGATGTTCAAGTGAACCTTTCGGAACTTTTAGTAATAATCAGTAGACTTCATAGAAATAAGTGACTATGTCCACTCTAGCTAGACGTTGTAACAGTTCGTGTTTGGAGCTTTTGATGTTTTAGAGAAAACTTCGCCGGCCATGTGATATATAAGTACATAATTTGATACGGACACATGTTTGGTCAAATCTAATCGTTAGCAGTTCAACTATAACTTATTATCATTTGTACTTGAACATCAGTGAAGATCAAGACTTTCATATTCCTCTTACTGGAACTCGAAGGCTAGTCAAGAGCTTATCGAATTTAAATGGTTTGTGCTCCAGCTCTCACTATCTGCCTTGGTATGCGAACAAGTTGGTAAACATGAACCCAAGACTTCTTCATCTTAGGGATGTCATTGGAATGCTTAAGGACAGCTTACATGAAGGTTGTTATAAGCCGCTCATCTAAATCTAGATAGCCACATCATCAAAATAAGACCCGTACTTCAGAAGTTTATAACCTGTCCATTCCACTCAAAAAGTGAAGGTCGATGCTATGCCACAAGGATTGTTATCCCTGCAGGATCCAGCACAGTGCTCTAGAGCCCTCTAAGTCCAACCTGATTATTTTCTACAGCCAGTGGAACACTTTATGAACAAGAGCAATTCTAGAAACAAGTACAAGAATGTTGAGAACGGTCGTACTGGGAATTTCTGTTTACTTCATCGAGCTATGACTCCCAATCAGTTGGTAGCACTTAGTGCCGATAGTCCCTGTGTCTCCACCACTGATTACAGTGGAATTGCTTGAGCTGCTATACTGGTTTTGAGATTCTGCTCAACTGGAGCATGTTTTTAATCATCTTTAACTGCACAATCAGTTGGTAGCACTCAGTGCCGATAGTCCCTGTGTCTCCACCACTGATTGCAGTGGAATTGCTTGAGCATGCTATACTGGTTTTGAGATTCTGCTCAACTGGAGCATGTTCTTAAACATCTCTAACTGCACGTGATGTTCTTCTAAACTGGTTCCAGCGACTGCAGATTGGAGGATGTTACGGTTCAAAACTACTGTGTGCGACGGTGAGAGGCGCCGGCCTCATGGTACTGTTAGATAAGCCCGTGCGTACTCTTCAGCTGTTCAACTCGTTTTCAGAGAGCCAACGGTCTACCTGAGGGACAAGCGTAAGTCTCTTGATTGATTGCCTTGTACTTCTATGAACGGAGTTGACGTACAAGATCAGGAATAGTTTGTGAACATGTTCGTCTTCCATTAACTACAGACTAGAAACTCAGAGTCGATATAGCTGCTTCTGTTTAAGGTCCAGTGCAGAGATGAGCAGTCCTGTAATCATTGAGCAATCTCTTGCTCGTTCAATGTAAGTTATCTATGACTCAGATGACCTTTTGTGACTGAATCGTGGAAGCATCCCGAGGTGACCAGTTTGCGGGTTCTAATCCTGTCTGAGGCAAGTTCAAGCGTCAGCATCAGCCTAGCCATCTAGGTGAATATGCTTCAATCCGAAAATCCTCTTATGAAGTGCTGCCTGTATTCAAAAGTCATATTGTATCTTGAAGACTTGATTGGCTGAAATCCGTATTCACTAAAACCTCAAAGTTGAAAGAAGAAAATGAAGCAGTGAGATAGGGGTGTAATGCCAAACTATCGATAACACAGTTCTTAATACATGGAAGTATGAGCACAAAGTGGGAGTCGTATGGCAGGGAGAGTAGATGTGCATGCACATGCTTGAAAAGAGTCTGATTGTTGTTTTAAGATTGGCCTACTACTTCTTATCGTTAATGGCTTGTGATGGACAGATCACAGGAGGAAATATATCAATTTGTACAAGGTCGAAACCTCTGTATAATCTGAGAATCATCCAAAATCCCAAAGAATCTGAGCAATCATGAATTGAGAGATCCGAGGTAGATTTCCTCGTGTGAGATGTCTAAGCGATTGAATTTCTTTATAGAGCAAATCCAGTCATCATTATTTTTCGTGAAAATGCATTCTTTTCATATTTCCTAACCAACATATTGACCATTTGAAATTTGATAAAAGTATGAATATATCTAATCCAGCCAATTTCGTCACCTGTATGGACACTATGACCTTATATGAATTCTACATGAGTGCGAGTCGTCTCCTTAGAAACAGACTCTTTACGATCACAATGTTTTCGTGCGACTCGATATCATCATACATCGTTGACATGCTCTACTCACAACTCACACATATACACAAGGAACGAGAGTGTGCACACACAAAGGTATCACAAAAAAATCATAACATAACACGAAAGGTATAGAGTCGAGCCAAACTCACTACCCTACGGTAGAATAAGAGTCGAAGCTAATGGGAAGAATCCTGACGCCTAAGGCTCAACTCGAAGAACTGACAGTTCTTCGAGCTCGCCTCAAATATAACTCAGGGTCGTCGACCTCAACGTTCCTCGACCATATGCCGACTCCCAACGTCCTCCGACTCCCAACGTGCCCCCGACTCAAATCTGAATTCAACGTCTATACACATGACAACTGTCGTGCGACTCGGTATTGCCATACATCATACATCGCTGACATGCTCTACTCACAACTCACACATATACACAAGGAACGAGAGTGTCCACACACAAAGGTATCACAACTCGCCCCCCTAGCTGGCTGTCAGGTCCCTTTGACTCCCAGGTAGCCCTATCTACAACTACATGCTATGCACCTTCGTGGGTGCGTGAACCAGTAGGCCGGGTGCTATGTCGCCTCATCCTTAGTCGCATATCTGCAATTCAAAACATGTAAAGATCAAGTCATCTACCCTCTAAAGTACATCGAGGACAAACCCACCGTCCAGTGTGAACAATATCGATAGGTGGAGTCAAGCACGACATGTGCCATCCCCTAGAACACCTATCACACACCAACATATGGGCCGCCTGATTAGCTGACCCGCATAACATGCACCTCAAGCCGACATGTACAATCGCCAAGCTTGGATCCATAGTACCATCAACGTTTGAGAGGTGGCATGGCGCACAGTTGCGCACATGATCCTTCCAAAAAACACCGTCACCGTCCAACATGAGAACTCCAAAAGGTAACACCTCTCGCATTCGCAAGATAGTGCGTCCTGCTGTCACATCCAACGTAGTCAGTGCAGTCTGCTGTAAATAGATGTTGTTTCCCACCCAGAACCTACGAATCGATGGTCGATAACCTCCTTCCCGAATGTTTGCATACCGCAATGTATCCCTGTGCTGAGCAATTGCAAGGTTCACAAACGCTGCAGGCATAGCTCTCCGAAAGAGCACTGCATGTTGAGAACACACTCTCATCCACAGATCTGGATCATCAAGATTCACCACCTCGCTAGACTCACGACAAATCGCTGCAGGCAAGTATGGATCTCGGCCGTACAATAGAAAATATGGTGAAAACGAAGCCAAGGATGCTTGACGACTGAATCGATATCCTATGGCCAGCCACGGTAACTGAATATCATAGTCCCCAAGATGCCCCTTCTATAGGCCATACTTGCGCAACGCTTCCTTCACCGTCTGTACAACCCGCTCAGCCAAACCATATGCCTCAGGATGATCTCGAGACTTGGTCCGGTGATCAATCAGCGTCTTGTCACACAAGACCTGAAACTCCCCCTGAAACTCTGTCCTCTGATCGGTCAACACCTCAACGGGTGCACCAAAGTGACGAAGCACCCTGTCAAGGAAAGCGTACGCTACTCCCTCACTCA